CAAAAATAAATAATAAATTTACAATTAATATTTAAAATAATTTTTAAGAAATGAAAGCAATATTCATCTTACTAAACTTACTGTAATTTCATCTTCACTAACACCAACATCAAATGCAGATTTTTTTAATTCATCTATTGTTTCTGATATGAAAATTTTATGTAAAAGAGCAAATATTAATGGTGATTCTGGAGAAGTTTGCACAAATACTATAAGACCACCATTCCATGCAGCTTGACTTAAATAATGAGCATATAATTTTTCATTCTTTGTTAAAGCATTAAATGCAGTTTCACATTCTAAAGAAATTATTGGTTGAGTGTTTGGTAGAGTAAACAATGAAATATCTTCACTCATTTTTGTCGATAATAATCTCACGCTGGAATGTAAAATGGTAATTTACAGTTGAATAGATTTATTAACTGCACTATAAACTTTTTTTATAAATTTGTATACATATATTAATGATACACTATTCTTAAATTAATAAATTCATAAAACGTATTTATAGCTAACGTGTTTTATAAAAAATATTAGAAAATAAGCGACATTAAAAGAAAAAAATTTGGAATTCCCATATATATCTATGTTGTATCTATCTATCTATACGTGACAAGTCACGCGACACATAACCCACCTTGAATGGAATTTTTTTTCTAAACACTTAATTTCCCTATTCGCACTAACAATTGACCGAACTTTTCTTCCTTTTAAGTTAACGCTGTAAGACGAAAATTTTAAAAAATATTCATGCACGTTTTGTGAAACAATCTTTTGCCGATAAAATGGCCACGTGTACAACTTAAGCATTATAATTTACGATAAAAAATAACTATCTTTTAATATTCGCAATGGCAATTAAATTATTACTTGTAATTAAAGAGTTTTCTGTTACATGTCAATTTATTGTATAATTTCGTGAAATATAAAAACAGTTACTAAAATTTCCTAGATCTAGTTTTTAAACTGGTAAAAAAATTATATCTTACTGTAATAGACATAAAATATACGAAGCACCATAATATTACTTTTTTAGATTTCGATCTTATTTGCAACTTTTATTAAATCAACATTATAATTGTTGCAAACGAAATACAATTATGATATTAATAGTGATAACAATAATGTATTTAGGAAAGTAACTTTCAAATGGTTTATTCTTTATAATATACATATTTTATATAAAAACCCGAACGTATTTCTAAAAATATAAACAAATTAAATTACTTCTATGTATATGCAATTGGATGTATTATTTTGCACAATATCAAAAATAATGTACTAATTTATTTTTTTCTCATTTATATGTTCACTTTTTTTTTAACTTTTGTTTTATATCGCACAATAATTAAATAAACAACGTTCGGTACTTAGTCAATATTTTTTATAATAATACAAATTACATATTCTTAAACTGTTACGTGTAAATTCAGAAATATTCTAAAAGGCACATTTTAAAATAATTTCTTCTACAGGTATCAGTAATTTATAGAAATAAAGTATACAATTATTCTTTAACATCTCCAATACCATCTGCATTTATAGCAAACATTGCTTCACTCTCAGGCAGGCAAGGTGAATCATAAATTTTACATATTCTAGTTTCCCCTCTGCCTTTACGTAAATATAATCTTGTAGTACTGGAATGTGCTATAATATGACCACCAATAGGTTTTTTCTGATCACCACCAAACATACTGGCTGCACCATCAACTTGTGCCACAACTTGGTTTGTTATAACAACAGCAACACCATGTTCATCTGCTATTCTCAGTAACATTCTAAGGAACCTACCTAAATGATTTTGTCTTGCACTTAATTCTCCTCTTCCAGAATATTCAGTTCTATACAAAGCAGTTGCACTATCTACTATTAACAATGCATATCTGCTTTCTGTCATCATAGCACTAGCCTGAATTAGTAATTGAGTTTGATGGTCTGTATTATAGGCTCTAGCACAAGCTACATTGTCTAATACAGAGTCACCTGCAATTTTATACCTTTCTGCAACAGCAATTAATCTTTCAGGTCTAAAAGTTCCTTCTGTATCTATGTAAAGACATTTTCCTTCTGCACCTCCCATATCTATAGGTAATTGACAATTAACTGCAAGTGTGTGGCACAATTGAGTCTTTCCTGACCTGAACTCTCCAAAAATTTCTGTAATAGAACCAGTTTCTATACCACCTCCTAATAGTCTATCTAATTCACTGGAACCAGTTGTCACAAAAACTATATTTGATCGTGTTTGATGAATTTCAGTGGCACTTTTAAATCCCATCACAACTAGTTTTGAAGCTTCTTGTAAAATTTTATCTGCCTTAGCTTCACTGATACCTTTAATAGCAATTAGACACTTTTTAGGAGCATAGGCCACAGCTTCTACGGTATAGTAACCAGCTTCTTCTAACTTTTTTATATCTCCTGCTGTTATTCCATTTCCCTGAATAAAAGATACACATATTAAATGATTTGTATAATTTAATTTTATACATAATATCAAATGTTTCCCAAAAATGTTGAAAAAACGTATTCGAGAAATGCGGTTGAGGTTACAAAACTTACTTCGAGAGTTTTTATTAATTTTACTTGTGGATTATATTCCTCGCTGTCATCTTCTGCTTGAAGAGTATTTGTGGCTGCGAGAGTTGACATTATTTAAACAAAATATATCACTTCTGAAATAACAAAAGATTTATGCAGCAATATGAAAACACGTATTTAAACTGACAACTTTGCGCGAACATGTTATGACGCCATCAATATAAAAACAACTTCAATTAACATGATGCACGTTGTGGTTGTTTTACTACAATTTTAATAAATAATATATCAGACATATCTGTAAATATTATAAAGACATTTTAATATTGCGTATTTTTGTTTGAATACGCGAATTATTATTGACAATAATATATTTGAATCTTTATTGTACAGGTCAAATACATAGATGTCATATGTCAGATGTTAAATATCTTCCTTTAAAAATATTAAAAGTCATACTTTGTAGGATAAATTATAATTAATAATTTTGTTGCAACTCGTTTTAAATTAATTGTTGTTAATTCAATATTTTGAGTATTCTAACTAACAATTACGTTTGATATTCAGTATATTCGAAGTAAGTACATATACGAACGAATGTAAAATATACAATATATAAAAATTTAATTCTTTATTAACTCCGTTGATAACTCCAAATATGTATATAAACACAATAAAATGTAAAAACTAGATTACGTATTTATCGACAATCAACATCGTACGATTCTATTAAAGATGTCTCTTCATTCGATAGTAAGAAACGAAATCAAGGAAGAGAAAAAGGTCAGGAACGAAGGGTATTAGGTCGAGGCAAGACGGATGTAGTCCGTTGTGACGTCCGACCATTTAGATAATTTGTATTCATCCCTAAAGTGCTTTTTAAAAGGGAATCATTATATGAACATCACATGTTTTCATGCGCGATCTTTCATCGAAACATCGTTGGATTAACTGCAGCAGATTTACCTTTCCAATGACAATGGCGACTTTGCATAAGAAGCATATTTGTTCATCAAACATAACTATAAGCGCTGTGTTTTTTGATCTGGACAATACTCTCATCGAGACTAGAAAGGGCGATAATCATACATGTCGAAAGGTACGCTAATATATTTGAAATTATATTAATGTTAATAAAACGTATACGTGTATATAAACGGTCAGTATTGGTAAAAAATATTGTACTATACTATGTGTTCTCCCTAAAGAGTGCGCGAAAAATAATTGAATCTTTTATTCGAAGTAAAAGAACAAGAATGGTCACACGTGTTAATGATTTACCAATTAATCTATAGATATCATTTGTATAGTACTTCTTTTACATCTTAAAATAATCGTATAGTGATTACATTTATATCTACTTTCTCATTTCCGTTTGGATACGAACATCGCACGAAAATAGAAACCTCTGTGTAATACGAGCCGACTCCCTGATATAGAGCTTTCTCTCGGACGGTTATTTTCGACCGATCCTACTGTAGTGTACTGTCCAGACGTTCAACGCAACGTAGAAAAAGGGTGCAAGCACGTTACTAAGAGTTTTCACGATCCTGAGATACCAGTTAAGCGTACTGTGCAATTGCATTCGAAACACTCGTGCGTAGAATTACGGGAAAAAGGTTATGTTGGAATAAAAAAGCACATATATTTAGTCTTTTTTCAAATGGAATTTTGTAAAATGACGATCTTGTAAATAATTTCGATTTAAATTATTTTCTTCAATGAGAGATTAAATATAAACAGTTGACACATTGCGTTCCTTTGATAAAAATAAATAAGACATCAATTTTACACTGGTAATAATTTATACTTGTTTGTAATGTACACACGTTTGTGGAATTAGCGTTTGTGTGGTACAACTTTATTTTTGTCCTGCTAAGTGAGTGTGTCAAAGGGCAAGGCTAGTTTTAAGGGGTTTGATCTGGGAGTACTGCCAGTTGGCTTTTAGCTGTGACATGTGAAAGATGCAAATCCCTGTGAAATCTTGTTAAATATTGTTTGATAAATATCTATATTGTTCAACTGTTTGTGAATTGCATTTGAAAAGTCATCAGCATATAATAAAAGTAAGATTACAAACATATTTTTAAAATATAGAAAAATATATTTATTCGTTGAATTGTGGTAAAATAAACTGCAACCATGAGTATACCAGACAGTGTGAAAAAGTGTGTAGCCATTTTAAAGTCTGTTGAAACAGACTCAGAAAAATTTGCTGCTTTATTTATGGTTACAAAATTAGTAGACAGCAAAGACTGCACAGCTGCAGTTAAAAAGGTATTGTTTGAAGCTATTGGAATTAAATTTTTGAAAAAATTATTATCTCCACAAACAGTTCCTGTGGACTGCCCACCACAAGTGTACAAGTCTGTGGCATTATCTATACTTTCTGCATTTTGTGGAGAATCAGAATTGGCTTCTCATCCTGATATGATTGTTCATGTACCTGCACTGCTTGAAATTGTTTCTCAAGCTGATGAGGATGCAGCTGATGATACATTGATAATTGTCAGTGAAGCATATACTTGCTTGCAAAATATTGCTCAATATCCTCCTGGGCAAAAAGTTTTGCTTGAACAGAAAGCAATTTCAAAAATGTGTGATATTTATTCTGAAAAAAGCTTTCAAACAGATCAAGCTTTGAATATTTTAGTTACCCTAGTTGGAAGATTTGGTCCAGAAGCATGGGATGCAACAGATGCTACACCTTTTCATGTTATTATAAATAAGATTGCATTAGATTTTGAAACAGATCATACAGAGAGAAAATTTCAATTGTGCACTATTTTACAAGCTTTACTAATGTCTTGTAGGAAAGACATTATTAGTGCAACTTCTAAAGAAGAATCTTGGCCTTCTAGCATTTATAAAGGTTTGTTTGACATTCTTGGATCAAAAATAGGCAAAAAACAACGTGATCCAGCATTGAAACTTGCTTCTGTAATGATGGATTTATTGGGAGCAGAATGGACTTTATTGGATGAAGAGAAACCAAAAGTGCTTTTCTTGCTGTTGATTCAATTAGCATCAATAGAAGTTAGAATGCAAGTAGAAGGAAAACAACTGAAAGCTGTAATGACAAATGCAGATTTAGTAACATCTTGTTTTATTATCCTTGAAATTTCTCTTGCATATATAACTAATGATCAGTTAGATTTAGATCAGAAAGAGAAACAGTCATCATATAATGTTTTGAAAGGAGCTTTTGCTGCAGTTATAGGTCTACTTACATCAATTTCTAAGATGAAGGAAATAACAGATATCAAAGAACGAGTATTTGTTTGTGCTCTAGTAAGAGTACTAGCAGCATGGATTGCTCAAGAAACAACAGCTATGCGTTCTCAAGTTTATGCAGTTTTGCCTTATATCTTAACAATAGCCAATGACACATTTTATGCACACAGAAATAGAAAATTGGCCGAAAAGGCAAAAGCAAATGCTAAAGCCAAAAGTGATGAGGGAACATCATCTGAAGATCCAATTTCACATGATCCTTTAAGTGAGGTTGATGTATTGAGACTGTTATTACCAGCATTATGTTATTTGACTGTAGAAGGAGATGCTAGAAAAATTTTACTTCAACATAAACAAGAAGAAGTCTTGTATGAATGTCTATCTTATCATTGGACAATTGTTCATTATAAGAAGCCACCAGTTCCAAAATCAGAAAGATTAAAAGCATTGAAAGAACCAGAGAAAGAAGAGGATTTAGAACTTAGTACATCAGAAGCAGTAAAAGATTCAAGAACTGCCATGGTTTCACTGTGCAATGTTTTTATGAATATTACTGTATTAGAATCAAAATTAGTAGAAGAATCACCAACCTTCATCTCTTTACTGAAATTTATTTTCAGTAACCTACCAGAACTTAAACAAATTCCGGAAAATTTAGTACTGCATGGTCATCTTGCAGTTTTAGGATTGTTATTATTGAAGCAACAGGCAAAACATATTAAGAAAAATGATTTTTCTATATGTCGATATATTCAGGCTACTATAAGATTTTTATGGGATGCATATATAATTGATGAGAGTAATGATCCAACTGAACTTGTTGTTGCCATTTTATATAAAGAACGATGGATGGAAATTACAGAACTGTGGTTTCTTGGAATGCAAACAATGGCTGGAGTGTTACAAGTTATACCTTGGCTAGCACAATTTACTCTTGAGTCAGGTTGGGCAGAAGAAATCATTGAAATCCTCAAGAAAGTAAAGATAGGAAGTCTTCAACCAAATGTAAAGTCTGCTTTTGAAGATCTTCTGTGTCATTTGGTTAAAGCAGATGAAAATGTTGCTTCTGTTTTGAAGAAGTGTGGAGCTTTAACTGTGTGCAGAAATCATCGTATGATGGAACTTGGAAAACGTCTTTTTGGAGACTAAACACAGTCTAAAGAATTTATTAAAAAAATTATATACTTCTATACTGGTACCATAACTAAAGGATTTAGTGTACTCTTATATTATTAAGTAATATGTTTATTTATGTATACCAGCTATACATGCTTTTTATATGATATTTGCAATATATAAATCATATGATCAATCACAGAAAATAATTTGAATTCTCATTAAAGAAAATTTTGCTGTTGTTTCATCAAAATTTATTTTAGTGATGTGTTCTAGCTACAGTTTTGCAAAACTGTTTACAATTACAGAGCAAATGTAAATTTAGGTAGCAATCATGTCTGGAAATAGTTTCTTGGCATGCAAAAGAATCAATGAATATTTCTATGAACTAACTATTATAGTTTCTAAAACATAAATATGGAAGCATACATCAGGACTAAAGATTTTTACATTTTATATTAAATCATAGTCTATCAACAGTTTATATAAGTTAGACAATATCTGCAATATATTTTCAGAATGTATATACTTAAAAAAATGTTTATGTATAATGAATGGCTTTGTAAAATAATAAGTAATCTTTCTATTAAATTAAATTGTTTTTTAAAGTGTTTTCTTTTTTGAATTATTGCCCACCTTGTTATTAAAAGATAAAAAAATAATTAGATGAACATATGAAATCATAAAAATTATTTTTTATGTTACATTTAACATATGACAAAATCTGCAGTAATAAGTGTAAGTGTTAACATCCAACAACCATTTGACTAAGGCTTCTAGTTTTGAAGTAATATAAATTTGTTGTTGGCACAACTGATTTTGTTGTGATTACAGCAACGACCGCGGGTGCCACTTCGAGTGTCCACTAATCGGCTCAAGTATTTCAATGAATCAATGCATTTTCTAGGTAAACATCAAAAACTGAATTAAGTGACCTAAACTCCTAACTGATCGTTTGTATCCTTGCTCCTAAAACCTTGATTAAGCCGTTAAAGTCCACATTCAATAAATATTTTTTTCACTTTTGATGTGTCAGTTATTTCTTTTAATTGATCTTATTATTGACATTCATCATTTTCCCCAATTATCAAGATGCATTATTATATACTGTGTTGAATGTGGAAATCAGTTTCATTTTCCTTTAGTGTGTACTTTGTATTTTGTTCATTATTTTGTAATACTGCTTGATTTCTATTTCATTAAGTGAATAAATGATCTAATAAATGATATTCTAACTTTATCTACAGTTGGCTGAGGAACTAACACAAGAGTATAGTATTCCTGAAGATGTATCTGTCAAGATCACAACAACATATTTGAAGCTCTTTAGAAGATGTCCTGACAATGGGATTAATACTCTGGATGCTTGGCGCATAACTCTATGGACTAAAGCACTTGGAGAAAAATATTCATATCTAGCAAAAAAAATTTATGAACGATGGTTGTATCTACGATATTATTATTTGACGCTGGCGTCAGACGTAATTTCTATGCTCCGTCAATTGAGGGTAAAATACCTCTTAGGTTTGATTACAAATGGCCCTTCTAATGCACAATGGGAAAAAATACGAAAACTTTCACTTGAACAATATTTCGATATCATCTTGGTATCGGGGGACTTACCATGGGAAAAGCCGCAAAGAGAAATATTTCGAAAAGCATGCCGATTTTTAAATGTTGAGCCAGACAGTTGTATAATGGTTGGTGACAAACTGGAAACTGATATTTTGGGTACTATACTTTTATTATAAAAATAGATTATAGATTAATTTGACTCACAAATTTTGCTCATCAATGAACTAGTATAAAGATCATGTAAAATAAAAGTATTATTTTTACCTAGGTGGAATAGAAGCAGGTCTAGGGGGTACAATTTGGATTCCAACATTGGATAAATCACTCTTATTGAGGGAAGTTCCACAACCAGATTTTACTATAAGGCATATCACAGATCTCTCAAGTATTTTAAACAGAGGTCCTGATGCTCCAGAACTTGAAGATTCCTCTTCAAATGCTTCTGATGGTAGTTGATAAAAGAATAAAATCATTTCTTTAGGGATAAATAGGGATAAAATTTGTATGAAATTTGCTAAATGTTTCCTCATAATTAAGTAACTATTATAGCATGTAACTCATTCTACATGTTTTAAAAGTTACTTAAATTATTTTTATTAAACAAAAAAGATGAAATTATTGATCACAAGATAACTACTAATGATATTGTACTAAACTTCGAAAAAACAATATTTCATTTAACCATATTTACTTTAGATTCCCTTTTATTGGTTTTATTAGATTGAGAATTACTTTTGTACTATTTATACAAGATCACAATTGTATTTTTTCACGATGTGCTAAGAATTATTTTCTTTTTTTTTATTTATTTTTTTGGTACCTCCTACTTAATTTTATTTTATGATAAATGTTCATTTTTACAGTCGGATTTTGTATAAATTATTATAAGTGAAAACAATGCAACTTGCATACAAAGTGACATATTTAAACCTATATTAAAGAGAAAACATCTAGTGAAAATAATTGTTTTAGTTTTATAGTTTATGTACAATATATGATGTATACATTAAATATAATAATCTCTGTATAAGATCGCGAATGCTACTATTGTAAAAAATTGTATAAACATATGTCTGTAATTATAATGTATATATTTAATATATGAAGAGTACATTGTAATTACATATGTAACATATATTTTTTCACTATATATTTTATCTTTGTTGAAACATAGTAAACAGAAATATGACGATGTGAAAACAATGATGTAATACTTATTTCCATTAAAACATTTCGTTCGGTTGACGTATCTGAGAGTATAAATATAAGAGTAAAAATTTTGGAAACACACATCCTGAAATCACCCGCTCCGAATATATATCCACCCAATCAAAGGAATCGAATTTTGTCTAGTGATTAACCATCATCTTTACGGTGATCGTAACAAGCAATACTTGGATTCCAACTATCGACGAAGATTCGACAATACTTACCTACCGACGGCCTCGACTATTTCTATTAATAAAAAGTGCAACAATATTAATATACTCTTCATATCAGTATTTTTTACAGGATAATGAACATGGTTCGAAATTTGTATGTTGAATGTTTTTTACAAACTTTTATATTGTATATATATATACAATATTTTTATTCTTTTAAATATTAAAATTGCGGGTCGTAAAATTCTTCTCCTACTCATTTTCTTCGTATGCGTCATTCAATTCTACTACATTATGATCAAATTGATCTCTTTCTTTCGTTCCATATTCACCATTTAATTGTTCTTTTTGCGGTCCGCTCTAAAAAGATATTAATTTTGACAATAATGAAAAGTTACATGTCATAAACTATAATTAATTATAATTAAGTTATAATAATTAATCTAACGAACCAGTGGAGACGTATCTTTGCTTCTATCAGAAAGTTTCCGATAAATCTTTCGAGCTTGTTCAGGATTAATATCGGCTTCTATTAACGATGTAAGAACATCTCTTGTAGTTACAATTAATTCAGGATTAGCATCGATTAATACGACTGGTATATTACTAGTGCCTAACAAATCACGCCTATTTTCGTCCATTTTTTGATATTGTACGAATTTTTCCGTCGCTTTGTTTTCATTTAGAATTTCTGATGATGACTGTGGTCGAATTTCGGAGACATTCAATTGTTGCTGAGTATAAGCAACACCTGTTAATTTCCCACTTTCTGGGTTCTCCGATATATTTAAAGCAAGCTTTAATTGATAAATTTCATACAGCATTGTATTCTGTTTAAAAATATGTAGCCTGTTACTTCATATATTCAGTATTATCTTATATATTCAAATGATAAAAAGTAGTATTATTCTGACCATATCCAGGATTTTCTTATTTTCTTCCATGTGTTTCGTAAACACTTCTTGCAATTGTTTATCAGTATAGAGCTCGTTGAGTATTATTTCGCGTGTAATTTCGTACACAAACTTCGCATATTTCACTTCTTCATTTCTTACATGTACTTCCTGATTATGGATCATTTTAGCGGGTACTTGAGTAGTTTCGTAATTGTCGCAACTTCTCGTCGTGTTAACTGCCGATGAAAGATGATTGATTTCTTGTGATAGAAAATCAGAAGCGGACCCGTGAAATATAGAATTTTCTTCGTATCTGTGCACATTTTTATTTTGTAACAGAACAATAAAAATTAAATATCTAAGATTTCAGTAAATTTAAATCATCAAACAATTTTTCTTCAACAAACATTTTCTCTCACCTATTTTGCATTTTTAACATAGTTTTTACACCTAAAGGACTAAATACTTTATGTCGCTTTGTATTTTTACAATTTGATATAAATGGCTCTGAATTATTTATTTTAAATGTCGGTAAACTTGGACAAATTACATGATCGTGCAATTTTGATCGTGGACAAATTACGTCATCATAATAATTGGTAAAATATCTTTCAGCTTCACATTGGCATAAATATTTCGAGTCATGGTACATTCTTAAAAAATCCTGTTAATTAATCAAATAAAACAATTAAATTACCATTTATTGACAATAGTTAAACAATTACGCGTAAATTATATCAATAATTTACCGCTGGATGATATAAAGTATCATATGCTAATTTATCAATTATATTGTTAGTAATCTCTGTTTTCATAAGTCGTGGTTTGCAATCGATTTGTTTGCACAGTTGTTTTCGTTTATTCATGTAATTTTTGTTTCTAGCATCGACGACACATTTTGCTAGTAAAATGCGTCGTAAATGCGCACTCATAGAATTATACGCTGTTAATTGTTCAAAATAATTTTGTCCATCTTGATTGTACGCTATATCCAAAGTAAATTTTCAGGTTACAAATAATGTTAGGTAAAATGTACGTTATATCGAATAATTACAAATATCGATATTTTTATCGAATTGAAGAATATGATATAATAAAAAAAAATATACATTTATCATACCAGTGCTTTTAAGATTAATTTCACTCTTATTACATCTTGTCATTTCTCGAAAACTTTTATTCACGCTTACAATGCCGCCTATTTTATATTTTATTTTATCTTTGATATATAAATCAGAAAAATAGTGACCCAAGAATTTTAAACGATTAATAAGGCAACACTAGCAACAATTTTTATCTTATTAATATCTATAAAACATTGTAAAGTATATATGCGTATAAATACGCACACGTAAACTTAAAGTTGTTACTACGGTTGCTAAGCAACGCGTATTTATATTTTATTATTTTACAATATATATTTACAAATTTTATAATCAGAATTTGAGTTTCCATAGCTGTAAATAAAATATCTTTGGTCTATTTTTGTAATTCTAATGTATTAACATTTTATATAAATTGTCCATTGTCTATTAATTATTAAATCAGTATCAATTACATTTATGGATGGATATAAGTACATATACTTTTATTAATGTATAACAACTTTGGTTATCGATTTAATATCTCTTCCAAATGTTCATATGTGGTATATTTAATTGT